GTGGGTAAGCTAAGACTTGCTGCAAAGCGTGTGAAGCTTGTAAGATCAGATGGCCAAGATGGAGTTAGATTACAAAGGGCAATGAAAGGCAAACATGGGAATTGCCAAAAATAAAGCTAGTTCTCATTTATGCTGTGGTCCATGATATGCTCAACCTTGTCTAATTTTACAGTAATTGCCATTTTACAGGATGAGGAAACTGAGGCTCAGACAAACAACGTGTCCCAGGCTCAGATTTGGGGAAAGGCAGAGAGTCAGGGTTGGAATCCAGAACAGGTGGATTGCAACGCTCAAGCCTTTTCCACTACACACCACACAGCTTTTAGAGAAGAAATGGAGGGCCGACCGCCAACTGCAGACTGACTTTGCAGAAGCAATCCCCAAACAGGTGCCCAGCTAATTCAGGCTTGAGCAGGCTAGAGGGAAGATCCCCATGGGGTCACACTGTCACCTAGTGGCCATATGAGGACACTGCACAGGTCCTGGGTTCTGCCCCCCTCAACTTCATTCAGGCCAGGACAAAAGTTTATTTTCCTTTCCCACACTCTATGAGGAGTAGGAGGAGGCACTGATTGAGTTTATGGGCACATAACTTAATTCCACAAGCATTCATTGAGCGCCTACCATGGGCCGCACATTGTGCTGGATGTCAAACCAAATGGAAGAGTCCGAATCTGAAAGAACTCAGGCTGGGGGTGAGGGGCACACTAGGAAGGCAGACATAGAGAACACTTACAACCACTGAGATAATGTGCTTGGGACTGAACAGTTAAAAGGATTCAGGAGCAACAGTTCTCAGAGCAGCCAAACAGGAAAGACCTCTAGCGCCCCCTACAGGCACATAGGAACTGAGGCCTGGAGAAGAAACAGTTGTCAAATTTACTCAGAGGCAATATGAGATCATCGATCAACTTCTGGTTGCATCAAAACCTTGGAAGGTCCTTACCTTTCTGTATCTGTTTCGTATCTGTAAGTTAGGGGTATAATACCTACCTGGCCCTCTCCCTCTAGAGCCATTGTAAGCATCTAATGAAATACAACCTCTAAGAGCGCTGTTATCAGACAGGCACTCATCCCTGAACCAGCAGCATAGCTGCCACAGCACAGGGGCCTCTCCATCACATCTGTGCTGAGGCTGGAGCACATGGTATAGCCAGCACATGTCATCAGCAGGACTGTAGGCTGGGTTTCTGTCTGTAGCCTGGTGACCACCAGCTGAGAACCAGCTCCAAGCTCTAACCAGCCAGAGCTGTGCTATATTAAGAAACACCAAGGCCAAACCCAAGAGCAGGCCCCTCAGCCCTTCCTGAAATCAGAGAACACCCTCACAGTTCTGTTCTTTCTGCCTTAGACACATTAGAGTATGTGGCACAAGGCAAAAGAGAACTGCAATCAGTCAGATAGCCCAGTTCACATTCCACCTACAGGCTTGCACACAACTCTTCACTAGGAGCCGGATGGACCTAGTACAACACGCCTGGCCTTGAGAATCACAACTCGCATCCCAGTTCTGCACTTGTGTCAGGGAAGCCAATCTACATTTCTGAGAAGGGGGTCCTCATCTGTAAAACCAGATTCAATTTAACAAAATAAGGAAATTGGAAGGAATAGTCTTTTTCAATTCTAAGAGAAATATAGTAAAAAATTTCCCATGAAGACCGGTAACTGACATCCAGGCACATGTTTATCAGAAATCCCTCAATGGATATGAAAACTAACGCAAGCAGTGAAAGCAAGACCTTCAAATCAGTCTGGAGGGCAGGCTGGCTGACGTCATGGGGCAGAGCCAGGAAGAGCCAAAGAGGCTTTGTAGACAGCTGTGGTGAGCAGAGAGCCTGGAGAGAGGAAATCAAGAATGTGCTAATCTGGAGTACAGGACTAAGTAAAGAACAGCAGGGGAGGTGCCTGAGCCCCAAGCCAGAGAGGAGAAACAAGGAGAGAAAACAGGACTCCCGAGGTGTTAACAGGGGCAACCAGCAGGGATGCGGGTGGCAGGTTCAACCAGAAGCCAAGAGAGTCACCTAGAAAAGGCTCTACCTCTCTGGCAAGAAAAAGGGGAGCCCGGCCGGGCGTGGCTCTGTGGTTTAGCATCAACCCAGTATCTAGGCGATCGGGATTCGATTCCAGGTCAGGGCACATGCCCGGGTTGCGGGCTTGGTCCCCAGTGGGGGGCCTGCAGGAGGCAGCTGATCAATGACTCTCTCATTATTGATGTTTCAACCCTCTCTCTCCCTCTCCTTTCCTCTCTGAAATCAATAAAGATATATTTAAAATTTAAAAAAAGAGAGATGCCAAGAGGCCCAGGACTACAGCCCTGAGGGCCTTAATCTGAAAAGAGAAAGTGTCTTCCCACTAAAAAGCCACACAGGCCCTTAGGCAAGGAATGCCTGGAAGGGCCTGTGAAATATTTTAAGCCCATGCTAAGCCTGGATCAGATACTGTGACTTCCCTCCTCCCTCCAAGTTTGCGTCTGCAATTCTCTTGCACCCTAGGAAGATCCCTGCATGTGCAGCAAGTGCTAGGCTGCAATGCCATAGACAAGCCCATCTACCAGTGTGGCAGGGGCCAGGGGCCAGGCCACAGCGTCCATTGCCTGGGGGGACCTCTAGGGTGAAGGTGGCAATAATGGAGATACAGCTCTCCCAAAATACTGTTCCCTATTGTTCTGTCTTTGCCAGAACCTGGAGGGAGGAGGGATGGTCCCACTTATCTCCCCCACCAATCTTCCCTCCTGCGCTCACATGAAAAGACTGGAAAGTAGTCCGCATCCCAGCCTAGCTGAGCTAGAGAAGAGAAGAAACAGAGCCCAGGACTGAGGCCCTGCTCACCGGCAAGGAAGATTCGAGAAGACAGGAAGGAAGAAGCCCGGGCCCCAAGGGAGCATCCCCTGTGCAAGCTCTACCACCACTTACCAAGAAGTTTTTAATCCCTTTGTGTGTCAGTCTCCTATCTGTTAAATAGATAATAATAGTACCTATCTGTTAAAT